ACACTGGTCACCCCACGACCACTGTCAACTGGTCCCCTGGAAAAGCATGACATCGACGTTTCTAAGCATATCCAGGAGAGTGATTTCCTTTTTTGGCTGCATGGATTTAATGGGTATGCAGTTCTAAGGCTCATTGGCGGCTCTTCAACTTACCGCCTCGTGTGTGCTTGCGATTTGTCACTTCAAAGCCTCGACGATGGCCATGTGATAGAGTTCGGTATCGAAGCATTCACTTACGATGATGAAAGAGAGGTCCAGGATCAGATGAAAAGCATCATAGAAGGTGCAATTCATTTAACCGGATCCACTCCATCTTCTTTGGAAGACATGTGGAAAGCTCCAGCAGAAAGCATTCTATTGAAGCTGGCGACATATACTGATCGCTTCGCACACATCTATCGATCGAAGATAAGTCTTTGGGAGACTTGGAAGCAGCTTGAAATGAAGTTTAAACCTTACCTGGAAGATAAGAGGGGAATTTATCTCCTGCTTGAGGCTATTACTCCCGCCGAACCCCTCACATTGGGGATTGAGCAAGATGGAAGCCCTCGACAAGTTTTTATGTTTAATGGTTTTGTTCTGAGATCTTCCAAAGCAATCGCGGCTCTATTGTGGTCACTATTACCTAAGACGCGAGAAATGGGCGAAGAGCGCACTGGTCTGGGGCGAGCTATGCTACCTGTCGAAGACGTCCTCAGGGGTATCCAAGAGTGGGCTGATACCACAAACGATTTCTTGGTTGCCTTGGCTTATGAAGCTGAGTTCGAGGAAGATTCTTTCCTCTGGAAACGGTATTTCATAGACATACAACAACATTGGTTAAAGAACATGGAGAGATTCCGGTGCAAGATGATTCCTGAACAATACGGACTGGGAGATCTGAGCACGGTCGCCTGTATTCTGAAACTTTTCCCCCTTCATAATGCACATAAATTTTCAAAGCCTGACGTGGATGATAGACTAGAAATGCAAGCGAACGAAATCGCGTGGACACAATCTATGAGAAACGCCTTCTGGAGTTGGACAGACTTGGGCGAAGAGTTAGAGCGAAGGTGGAAGTTCTGGCAATACTTGGACCAACATCAATGGCTGTCATCATGGCGAAGTGGCCCAGCCAGTAATTTGAATAGAATGGACCAACAGATGTGGATTCGCTATCGGTTGGGCTCTCTCGGGTTTGACTTCAGTTCACCTTCTGATGTTACTATTCATTAAGTTACAATATAAATACAGCCAAGGGGATAAGAAAAATGCCACCATGATTTCAAGTTAGTGTTCACTGCCGATTTGCTCTCTTGGTTACCGCAACCTCTCGGAATTGCGAAGAAAGCACACAGTATCTAGTTTGAAGGTATGAATGGAAGCCTTGATAGTCCAGTAGACATATAGGCACGATTTTTCAGCTCACAATGATTGGAATTATCAATAAAGTATGGTTGTCAGCAGCTCATAGAATCGGTTGAAAGGCTTCGAAGTTTGTTACATTGAGAATACTACCCAGTAAGTAGACTTCGTTTTCCCGATACACTTTTCCTCCTTTCTTGATGCTCAGGGAGAACCACCATCCGAAAACTTCAATTCCTGGCCGGAAACGCCCTTCAGCACATTTCCAATGCCTGGCACTTCGCCATTTCCTCCTTGCATAATCGCAGCATAATTGTCAGCAATCAGCTGGATTCCGGATCCAAATCCCTTCTCATCAAATTGACAATGGCCTCCCACTGGCTTGTTATTAGCTGTCTGAAGCTTGTTGATGGCTTCCGTCTTCATGCCCTTGTCTTTGACAACCTTCTCATACGCCTTCATCGTAGCGGAGATTGATCCTTGTAGGTGCTGAAGCTCTTTTTGAGTGCTCTGATAGTGAAGTCGAGTTTTCATTAGAGCGTCGCGAGAGGACTGCGAAACTTCGACGCGGGGTTCCATGGCACCGCAGCCAAGCATCACTCCATTCCCGGCGAAGTTACCCATATGCGCTGGCATGAAGTATCCGGAAAGCAGGAGAGAGCCGCCTGAAATTCCAGAAAAGAAGACATTAGAGGAGTTGAAGGCCATGTATTTTGGCAGGGTCTGGAAGACGAGATCGTTGACTGCTTGAGCGTGCGCTGCGCCATCTGTGCGATTGAACCCAGAACCCCCTCCCCAGTGGAGGTTTCTGTCCGGGGAAAGTACTGTAACCCCCGCTAAATTGTTCTTTACGCCTTGGTTTGGCATGTCGAAGAAAGATGAGCCACTGTCGCCGTGTAGCAGGACGTGAAGCCCGAGGTTGCCCTTCGCGCCTGTTGTCTTGCCGCCTCCGGGTACCTTGCTCGCTGTTGTAAATTCACCTGCTGGACCACTGATGCGGAAGCGGATTTTCAAGTTGCTAGCTCAAATATTAGCGCTTGCTCCGTTAAGAGTGTATAACGAGTGTGTTTTTTTTTTTCAGCCTTCACTTACTTAATTGTCTCTGTAGTATCAAGAATAATCGAACCATCCTTTGCGGGCATGATCCCTTGTGGTATCTTGTTCGCTCTGTCGGCAGGAGACTCTCCACCCGTCTGCTGTGGCAGACACTGAACACCACTGTGAAGTAGGACAAGCGCTAGCGTCAGAGCACGCTGAAAGTGGAAGATCAATTCCATCTTAACTGCTATTAAGGGTCCGATTCACTCTATGAGGCGAGCTAAATAGGACGGAGGGTTTAGGTTCTTGAAAATGGGAACGGCAGCCCCAAGGTCATATATCTTTTCATTCAGTTGCTCTACAAAAACACCCTTTCTTCCCCCACGAACAGTGGTGATAGCCGTTTTATCACGAAGGTTTCCTCGCAAAGAGTTTCATCTGAACGACCAAGGGATGTTTTAGGTCGGATTCGAGGCTCCCGGGGATGGGGACGAGCAGGGTGAGGAGCCAACAAACAGATGAACAAGGTTTTGACTCGCATAGGTTCGTTGGTGATTTGTGGTATACTCTGAGGCTAGGCATGCTACATTAAGCCATGGGAAGCTAGGCATGGCAACAGGTAACATCCTTGATATTGGAACATTGCCATGAAACGGTTGTAAACACAGCCCAACAGGCGGTAGATGCTTCTACTGCACTGACAGCCTCAAGTTGTGAAGTTGAGTTACAAAGGTAGAAATCGAATTGAGTCTCAACCGCCAGTCATGGCAGTCTTGATAGCGGGATCTGTGATGGACCATGCGCAGATCTTCGCAAGGAATGGAGCCAATGGGAGGAGAGCGGTTCGATATTCCAGACAGAGCACCGAAGCTGCGGTCAACAAGTTGGTGGCGAAAGCTAAACATGGTCGACATATCACAGAGCCAGTTTCCGGTAGACTTGAGCTATTTGCTAGATTTGAGATCACCCTGTAGGTATTTCTGGCGCATCTCCAACAGATTTGAAATGCTGCGATAAAGACTCCGGCCGGGATTCGACCAGCCGACGGCTCACATCCGCCCCAATGATCCAGTGCCAGTGGACCGACGAACCCCCACCAAATGTCCCCGCCTTCGGACGACAGCGCACTGATGCGGAGATCTGTGGTGTTGGTCCTTTCAAATAAAGATTGCAACTTCACGACTCATACGTATTGCTGAATTCTATTTCAACGTTATTGTTATTCCCAAGACCTTCAAAACAGCACATAATATCGTCAAGATGTCGATGTCCACTGAAGATTGCGCAAAGTCCCGGGAGGGCTTTCCCCGCCCGTTCCCCAACACACCATCCAACGTCCTAGACCAATTGAAAGTGACGGGCAAAGTCATCGTGGTCACCGGTGCTGCTGATGGTATTGGCTATGCTGTTTCCGAGGCCATGGCAGAAGCCGGCGGCAATGTTGCCTTGTGGTACAACTCGTAAGAGAAGGCCTCTACTGGCCTACTTCTATGTCTTTAAAGGAGTTCAATGACTAATGACGTCCCAGAAATGACGCTGCAATTCAAAAGGCACAAGACCTAGCAAGCACACATAGCGTCAAGACCTCGGCTTACAAAGTGGATGGTTAGTTTGCCAAATGGTTGAGTTGAAGTAGGAATATGAAGGCTAACATTCATCTAGTATCCGATTCCAACCAGGTTCAAGAGACTATTGCCAAGGTATTGAAGGACTTTGGCAAGATTGATGTGTTTGTTGCCAACGCTGGTGAGTGATGCCGCGCTCAGCACACGCTTTAGTTCTAGCCGAGTTGTGACTAATTTCACGGTAGGCATGGCCATTTCAAAGCCCATTCTGGAGCAAACCCTGGACGAATACAGGAAACAGATGTCGGTAAATGGTAAGTTCTCCGAAGAAATCAAAGCCAGGAAGTATTCCACTGACATTGTTCTTAGTGGACGGAATCGTGTACTGCTCCAAGTATGCCGGAGAAGTCTTCAAGAACCAAGGCTTCGGAAATCTCATCATCACTTCGAGCATGAGCGGTCACATCGTCAACGTCCCTGTCGACCAGCCTGTCTATAACGCTACCAAGGCGTACGTCACGCACTTTGGAAAGTCTCTCGCACGCGAGTGGAGAGAGTTTGCTCGTGTCAACATTGTGTCCCCAGGCTTCTTTGACACCAAGATGGGCGCTGGTCCAGATGCTCTGCAAGAAGCATACCGCATGGCAGCTCTAGGCAGACAAGGCCACACCAAGGAGATCAAGGGCCTGTATCTGTACCTGGCAAGCGACGCTTCTACTTATATGACTGGTAGCGATGTCCTTATTGACGGCGGATATGTCTTGCCTTAAGCGATCATACATAAAGAAGACGCGTAGTTTGGCGCTGTTGTTAGAAGCGTTAGAGATAATAGCACGCACTCGATACCTACAACTCTTCTCATACCGCAAGAATGACATTGATGATGGGTGGGCTCTGTCTGAGAATTGTACAGATAGTTGACCATGAACTGCAGTCTACCTATCGACTTGATTATTTCCATGCGCAACCACCCCTCACACCCTTCCCATTGTGCAAGTGCCCGTAAATCCTTCTCAAAGCGCTGTCATTCTATTCTGATTTACCTGGCCACCTTCAAATACGCGAGCTGTTTTGCACAAACTTCTTATCAAAGTCAATTCCAAGATCCTCGAGCACCCTCTTTGCTACCGGACGACCACCGCCCCAAACCCCTCCACCCGGATGCATGAAAGGTCCGGCGAGGTAAAGACCCCGAATTCCAGGCACACGATATTGAGCGAGGGCAGGTGTAGGACGGTTGATCCCCATCTGGTCCCCTCTCATGGAAAGACCGGCAATGTCGCCACGCTGGAAACTGGGGCTGTCAGATTGATGATCCGGAGGAGCAACAACATGATAGGAGCGAACAATGTCGGGAGTAAAGTTTTCCAAGTACTTTGAAAAGTACGAGAAGACTCGCTGCACCCAATCGTCCTTGATGCGATCCCACGCAGCCCATCCGCCATCGGCAGGCTCTGCCTTGCACATGACAACACAGTGCAGCAGCGACTTGCCTGGCGGACAACGAGTTTCGTCACCTGCACTGATACAAGAGGCTCCGATCATGATATTCTCTGGAAGTATTCCTTGACTCATTTCGTCGTAGCTCTGGATGAGGTCTTTGAGATTACCTGGGCAGCAAGTATTCATGACAGTCTTGTCGGCGATTGGACCCGCTTTGAACTTTAGCGGGCGTTCGAGAGCGGCGTGAATGACGAGAAGAGTGAAGTCAGAGACACGAGTGTTTGAGGCGTCTGATATGACTGATGGATCGATTCCGTCGACAAGATGTCCAAGATTGTGGGGGTGGATCTGCCCGATGACGGCCTCTCTCGCCCTCAACTCTCCAAAACGAGTTCTGACTCCGACGGCGCGCCCGCCTTCGGTGATGACTTTAGTGACTTCTGTATTCAACTTGACATCGCCGCTGTGGTCTCTGAGACAGCGAATTACAGATTCTGTCCATGCAGATCCGGACCCTTCGGGGACGCAAAGGCCGTAGATATCAAGAAGTCCGAAAGCCAAGTAAGCCATCAAGCCCGTGCCGGTCGTTTTTGGATGAGCGAGCTGGATCTCAGTTACGAATCTCAGTAACGCAACTTGAAGAATCTCGCTCTTGAAGTATCTTTGGATAATATCCAAGGATGGGCTGGTTGATGCCATGGCAATTTCTTCCCCGAAAGGGCTGCTGGCAATATCCGCCGACATGTCGCGGGGAGGTTCGAACATAGAGGGCATCAAAAGCTCGGTGATGTGTCGGCTTTTGTCCACAAAGACGTTGTAGGCATCGGCATCTTCCGACGAAAACTCTCGAATGGCATCGATAGTCCTGTGACGCTCTCTGTAGATGGGTAGGACTTTGTCTTCCATGACTATGGCATAGCACGGGTCTAGCTGCTTGTAAACGAGGCCGTACCGAGATTGTAAACCAAGTTCATCGTGCGTGATCATGGGGTTCGCGAGAATCAGTTGATGAATGGCGCTGTGACGTTCGCTGATAAAGCCTGGCTCGGCCATCTGCAAGCTGGCCACCCCACCTCCGGGGTAAGAAGCCTTTTCGAGGACGAGGACTTTCTTCCCAGCTACCGCAAGGTAGGCGGCTGCGGTCAAGCCATTATGGCCAGATCCCACGACAATGATATCCCATTCAGTCATGGCTGGCGAGGAGGTGAATCTTCCCACCTTGGAGAAATCTGTGGCCATGGTGTAAAGGAGCGCGATGGATAAATCTTCCAGTTGCGGGATAATTATCGGCTAATGGCACTGATAGTGTCCTAATATCGACTTGCGTTGAAGTGAGATGACAGAGTGATGATGTGAAGGTAGATAGAGGGGAATATCATGGAGTATTTAAGATAATGTATGGCAACATAAGACGCTTTCATGGTCAGTACATTTACACCAGATTAGTCCCAGTACCCTAGAGGAACGGGGCTAATGCCTTGGCGCCCGAGTTGTAACAATCCTACTTTACATATTTCTCCATCAATTTTGACGTATGGATACCTTGTCTAGGATTAAGCAGCGCTTAGTAAAGCTGTACCTGAATTGTCTTTGCGTACAGGTGGCGTAGAGCCAGTGGACGAACTCCGTGCCGGTGACAGGAGGGTCGACACGTCGATAGGTGTGGCCAGGATGTATCATCTATGAATGCTCCACTACAACACTAATCACTGCTATGAGTCTCTATTGCTGCACTACAAATCGGCAACGGACAGTTCATAGAAGCCGATCTTTTCATTCGGCCGTATTGTGATCTGACACGCCGGTAGTTGACTCGGGCCGTCTCGTGCATCCGTGTTAGATGCCGCCTCCACAAACTCTGTCCCCGCGATTCTCTGTTTCGAGAGGGGTATATAGAGCTATGAGAGCCCCCCGCAGCCTCCGAAAACTACTTGAGCTCTTTTGTGGCAACTACCCCACAACGTCCGACGACACCAGCCTGTCTCGAGAATCACCGATGACAACTCCATAACAGGTCGGAGATTCAGAGCGATAACACAAGACGTCTGCGCTCTACTTCCCCTGCTTCCGATTGGGTTGAAGCGAGACCATGGCTCTGAAATGTGACATCTGTCAAGCCGAGTTTCGCCGTACGGAGCATCTCAACCGCCACGTTCTCCGTCATCTCGGCGTGCGCCCTTTTGCGTGTCCGATATGCACTGCTAGCTTTGCCCGACGGTAAGATGTTCCGAGCGACATCCATCTCGTATACCACCAGGTTGCTAGGTGTACAATTGCCCTGACGATGAGACCGTGCCCTAATCAAGTGGCTGATCTTCAACCCCGGCAGAGACTCTCTTCAGCGCCACATGCAGAGTCATGTAGACGTCGACACTTCACCCACAGGCTCCGATACTCCGAGAAAAACCCGCAGACTTTGCGTTCCTAAAGCTTGCCAGCATTGTGCGCGCTCGAAACAGCGTTGTGATGGTGCCTACCCCTGCGCCAGATGCCAATCCAGAAATCGTGCTTGCCTTTATGCAACTGACGACCAGCGCAACCCTGATTCTTCTCAGGAGTCTCGGGCGTCAGTATCAGATACCGTGGAAGTTTTCGATGGGTTCAGATCATCCGGTCATCCTAGTCAGACTGCAGCCAACAACAGAAGCGAAGTGGTAAGTGGCTACAGTCTTATAACTTCCTCCGTGAAACCCCTTTTGTGGATAGGGAGAACAGTAGTTTGCAGCTAAACTTACGCAAGCTTGTAGTTGCCAGAGTCTCAAGTGGAAGACTCGCAAGAACAGCCCTCTCAAGACCCAGGCCCAGATGCCAGAGACAATTTCCAAGCTGCTCTCTGGAACCAAGATGGACTCCAATTAGAGTTAGATCCGCTCTTTTGCACGCCAAGCCAATGGTGCTTCCCATTTTCAACAGCTAATGCATGGCTGAGCTGGGATGATTTCCTGAACAATGAGTGGGCGACACAAGAAAACACGATGGCTGCCCCTATGGCCGATGTCAGCGGCTTGCGGACTCAGTTTATCTCGGAACATACACCAAACGAACGAAATGAAGAAGCACGGGATCATTCTGTGAATGCAGAAGCAGATAGTACAGTGCTCAAAACAGCTGTACAAGAACTTACACCTACTTCTCTATTGTCAGAAGATACACCAAGGGCGATCTTCACCAATCACTCCCAACTTTCTTCTACATTCGCGAATGCTTTTCGCCGGTCATCGGCTTTCAGCCGAGACTATGTTGACTCCACAGAAGTCGAGAAAAGCCGAGGCAGTCGAAAAAAGCACTTCGTCACCCGTGGCCTTGAAGACTTCCGTCGAATTGCAAGTTCTTCCTTTTATCCCGAAGGTGGTGATGGGAATGAGAAGGACTGGGATCTCGAAGTCTACGGCCATGTTCCGAGCTTGAGCCTACATGCTTATTTGATCCTCCAAAATCAGTTTGAAAAGCTAAATGCGGACACAGACTACTGCAAAGCATTCACGGATAAGCCATTTCCATCTCAAGAGGCTATCAACGTTTATATCCAATCTCATTTCGAACACTACCACCCTATTTGGCCTTTGCTCCATCAACAAACCTTCGACCCAGAGTGTGTTCACTGGATTCTCCTTCTCGCCGTTGCGGCGACAGGGTGTGGATTTTCGAAGTTTGGCACGCTAAGCGATGCCTTTCTCCTGCAAGAGCTTCTGCGGCGCTCGATCAATCTTTGCGTAAGTTCGATTCTAATACTGTTCGTGCATGTAAGGCAGTCTATGCTAACAGTCTGTACAGTTGGACCTTGACCCTGAGCCGGATGCGGCTTCAGAGTTGTGCTTGACACAGGCTGCACTACTGAGTCAGATAGGGTTGATGTTTTCTGGAAGCATGTCTTTCGCCGAGCACGCCCAAAGAAACATGTCTTTACTTGCAACACTTTGCCGACGAGCGGGCTACTTCAGCGAATCTCAGTCACTCACTGAGGATTTTGTACCCCTACCAGCCAATTGGGAAGGATGGATTTGCGCGGAAAGCAAAAGAAGACTTGTACATTTCTCATGGGTAATTTTTCCAAGTTCCACCTCCGATCCGTAAGCGCGTAAACGCTGACGCCGCAACTAATCTCAAGCTGTTGGACGGTCAGCTGGGCTTGTTCTTTGACTTGCCTCCGACTATATCAACGGATCTCCTACTACTCCCGCTGCCATCGGACGACACACTTTGGGCATCAGATCATGCAGAAGTATGGGCAAATCAAGCCTCTAGATCACCAAGTGAGCAACGCCCCACACACCGCAAATGTTAAACAGGTCGGCTACTAAACCGTCAGATCTTGCCAATAGCAGCCTTCTTCGACAATACCTCATGGACCTCCGGCGTGACGGGAAGGTCCCAGAAAGTTTGAGTAGCTTGAATAGGCTCTTTCTTACTTTTGCCGTGTATCGAGCCTCCGCAAACAATCAAGAGGCTATTCACTGCCTTAAAGCCTTGCGTGGCGACGCAGACATGCAGCCACCGACTGACGAGATTGAAAGGATCACACTCCAGCACAACCACGCTTTCAGTCTCCTTCTCCATATGCCTTTACGAGTCCTTACTGCATTTTCTGGTTGGGGTGTTAGCTCTCAAGTCAGAGAAGCTGCAGACCGACGACTTTCTCTATGGCTCTGTCAGAATAAGGGGAAGGCGCGTGTCATTGTTTATCATGCTGCCAAGTTATTCTCATACATTCGAAATCATCCCACTGGTGGACATCATGAGGACAATGCCTTGCTGTATGCCACACTCTCCATGTGGATTCACACTATTTTCGACAGTTGTCAAACGAGCCCTTCAAGAACCCTCCGCCTTGATAAACCAAATGACGGAGAGGCCTTGATTCAATGGCTTTCAGGGGGTGCCGACTTTCGATTATACGTGGCGGGCATTGGAGATTTGAGTGATAAACGTGCTTCCGATCGTTTGGTCCAAGAGAGTGTGCGGATATTGACTCGGAATTCGGGCTGGTCTCTGGGGCTGGCTGTGAGCATGGTCATTAGGGCGCAATGGAGGTCAAATCGTGGAACACTAGGATAATCTCTGGATTAGGTTCTCCATTTGCCGGCCATTTATTACAAGATCTATCTGGTGCTAGCAGGAAGCTCTTGTATTGCTAGGCAATCAAATTGGAAGTGTCATGCCATTCATCAAGAAGAATCACCACCACCAATTCAGAGTCTGAACTCAATACGTAGATCACTCATGCTTCAGTTCCCACGGTGCTTTGAGGTCATTTAGTATATAATTATAGTAGGGCTAGAATTCCAAATCCTTCTTCACCACAATGTTTTCATCTCCGATCACCGCAAAAGATTTCCCTGTATCAAAGGACTTTGGCAACTTCTTGAAGAGAGTCTCTAGCTTGTTCTTCTCGCTGACGAATTTTGCGGCGGCGGCTCGGTCTGGGAACCAGTACTGCTCAAAAGCAGCCATTGTGTGCCAGTCAGAAGTGGCAAATGGTGTTCCGGCAAAGAAACTGGCAGTATCTTCGGGAGTGACTTCTCGGTTGAGGACATATCTCATCAAAGACGTGCCGGCGCCGACTTCCGTGATGGACGCTGCTCGATTAGTAAGGTCGTCTTCAGTGTAGGTTGAATCCTGAGATTTTGCTAGGAAGACTAATAGCAATGCTGCTTTGTTTCCACGCTTTTCAAAAAGGATGGGATCAAACAAACTCTCCGCAAAGTTTTGACTGAGTATGCCAGTCTGCGATGAAGTGTCCGCGAATTCATGTTTACCAGCAGAAGCTTTGTACTCGGGAGCTTGAAACGAGCCCCAAAGACCTTTCAATGATGTCCAACCGAGCGTCGTCACCGCATCCCAAGGTTCTAGACCCCCGTTCGGGACGCCTGGGATACTAGAATGAGGGAGTGCGACGGCCTGAGTGTAGTTCCGGAGGATGGGAACCACGTCGGAGATATGCTTCGTCATTGCAGCATGGACGCTGGTATATTCCTCAAGAAACTTGTCTTCCGTCCAACCGGGAATCCGTCTGCAAGCAATAGACATCTTGACGAGGGGCCTCTTTTGGCTATACGCTTCCTTGACCGGTGGAATTACGGGCAACAGCAGATGCGAGTCGTATATTCCGCCAAAATGAATGACATGGCGTCCTTTGTTGATTGTGGAATTATGCCTGGGGATAGGAGCACCTGGAGGGTACTTGCCGTAGTCGTGTCCAGAGACTACGAGGCTAAGTCGCTCTCCCGCCCGGAATCGACAGTTCGTCGGCTGTATCTCAATCTCCACAGGCACCACGTCTCCGGCTTTGAGAGGCTCCAGATCTCTTCGATGGAGATGAACTGGCTTCCATGGGGTCGAAGCGGTCTCATCCAACTCGCGTCGAGAGGCTCGAAGCCAACCGAAACCAAGGGGGCCGGTATCGACGACTGTGATCCATGGGAAGTCGACATCCTTTCCATCTTTACCCTTCTTTCGCAGAGTTATGAAAAGATCCAGGTTATCGCCACCATCAATCACTTCAACCCAGAGTTTGAGCTTGGCATGGCCTGCAAACTCAAGGGAGTTTCGAAGAGGAAGCTCAAAGGCGACTTCACCCTGGCTCGCGTCGTATGAAGTATGGCTCTCCGCGCGCTGAGCAACCTTGCTCAAGCCAAAACTCGGGGTCGGGAAGTACTGCGTATACTGGGTTTCTGGAATTGGAAATGCATCACTATATCGCCATTCTCCGGTGTAGTAGCGTTCCCTCATGGTGTAACGGACTTTGGGCCAGTACTGAATTTCTGTCGACAGCCCGAGCAGATAATGATCGAGGAAAGCCTTCTGGCGGTTTAACGACTCCTCAGTGACCGACCACTCCCATCTATAATTCATCGTGAAGGTTAGCGGTACTCAATTTGGCCGTTGCAGTTGAGAAAGGCTGACTTTTGGCACTGATGAATCTCGAGATACTTGTCCTGAGAAGCGATCTTCTCCCAAGCGTTGAGTGTCCCACCACCCCATCCACAAATGATGTATGCTGGAGCTATGATTTTTGAGAGAGCCGGAATCTTGTTTTGCCAGTACTCGTCAAAGTATGGGTGTGTCTTGGCCCCGTCCGTCGTATCCTCGACGAGATTCTTTCCCCAATTAAAGAAGTATGGATAGCTTCGACCATTTCAGTCAGCTTTACTTCTTGAAAAGTCCAGAATATTACAATTCAGGAAAATGACTTACACAGCACTGAATTGGGTTTCTGGAATTCCGCCCTTCAAAGCCATTTCACGATACATGTCAGTCATGCCGTCGATGGGAATAATTGCCTTCACCATTAGGCCGTTAGCAACTCAAAGAGGTGTGAAGCAGGTTCAAAGACACATACCGCGAGTGATGGAGGTTGTTCAGCTGCTACAAGCCAAAGCACCATTGCGTAGCCACTGGCCCCATACAAGGCAACCTTGCCATTTGACCAACCCTGCTGTGCAAGCCATTCGACAAGATCGTACCCTGCGGAGACAGATCAGCTTAACAATTGTCCTTTATTTAAAGACAGTGTGATGCAGCCATAGTTATAGTAAAAGCTTCCAACGGAATTGAGAACACCGAAATAGACGCTTACCGTCAATTCCAACATCTCTAGAATAATAACTCTTATTACCATCCGACTGAAAACAACCCCTGGCATCTATGCTGGCAACGATGTACCCGCGAGGACACCACCACCCCGGATCCGCCGCTTCGAACTCGTAGTCTTTAGTGATACGGGCTTTGTCGAAGCCTGCACTTGGTGGGAAGACTGCAATGTCGGTTGCGCCATCCTTGCTGTAGACGCTGTAGTTAAAGATAACGGGGAGCTTCGTGCCCTCAAGGTGGCGAGGCCGGTAAATGTTGCCCCGCAGGACTGTACCGTCTCTGATCGAGATAGCCACATCCATGTCCGAGACGATGTTGTCGTCTTTGAGGGTGCGAGGATTGGCACCCTTGACGCCCAATACCTGCGGGTCCCACGCTGTGTGTGAACTTAGCAAGTTCTTCAAAGGAATCGGTGTGTTTCGTCCCACGACGATTTGGCTCAGTGACAAGATTCTCACCTTTGATGAACTTCCCCAGTTTATGGGTCTTGGCCAGTTCAGCCTTGAGAAGCTCAACATCAGCCATGTCTAAAGGGTCTTGTTGAATTATCGATCAACAATACAAAAATATAGATGTTCTAAAGTCGAGAAGAGTTCATCAGATTGCAGAATGAATGACCTTAGGATCAATGACAACTTGTATTCAGTACCTATATATCTCGATGGCAGCCCACTAAGTCTCGCTCTCGCTCTCTGACTTCGTTACGTACTATCACCGAAGTTGCCTGCTCCAATGACAAACGTGATCTTAGACAACCCCAGAACAAACTGAACATTGCGGGGATCGGACATCGTGGGGTAGCGGGGCCGACGCCGGTTGGTGGGGCCGATAGAAGTTGGCATCTCGGCAACAGCACTCGGCTCCGGGTTGTGCAGCGCGGGGAATATGGGGAAATACGATCTCTAGCTCGCCGTAGTATAGATCAGTAGGCCTGGAAGCAGTTTAATATGGAACTTTTCACACAGAGTTAGGTTCCTGGATTCGTTGGACCACCTATCATCTGTCACTGACCACTACAAAAACGATACACTCCCACCATCAAGAACTGAGATCTTGTAGGGACATTATGTAATAATATTATCTGTGGCTAATGATAGAATGGAACCATCTATGAGCTCATTACGTGCCTTTATACCGTAAACCACAGATCCCACATTTGTAGACATCTCCCAGGTTTTCTTAGTGGTTGCACTGGCTGGCGGGCTTCTGGCCCTTGACACCCTGAATGCAGTTGTTGGTAACGTCAAGAACGTGGTTCTTCAGCAAAGCAGTGCAGGCCGGTCCCAGGGTTCCGCTGAAGTTGTTGCTGGTGAGGTTCAAGACTCCCAGAGTATCAAGCTTACACAGTCCCTCGGGAACGGATCCGGACAGCTTGTTATCGCTGGCGTCAAAGACGGTAAGGTTCTTGATGCTGTAATCTCTAGGAAGCGATCCGGACAATTCGTTGCCAAGGAGGAGAATCTCCTGGACGTTCTTCATGTTTCCAATGCTCTTGGGGATGGATCCGTTGAGCTTGTTGTTGGCCAACGTCAAGTAAATGACAGGGGACGAGCCAACGTTGCTAGGAATGCTGCCCGAGAACTTGTTGTCGTTCAAGAAGAGGACTTCGAGGTCGAGGTTGAAAGCCTCCTTGGGGATCGGCCCGGAGAACTCGTTGAAGCGCAGATCGAGGAAGGTCAGATTGAGGTCAAAGACACCGGTTGGGAAGGGACCGGAAAGCTTGTTGTTGCTGACGTCGATTTCCCATAACCACTTGAGAGCTGACAGGTCCTTGGGGAGCGATCCAGTGAAGCCGTTGCTGTTGGCGTGGAAGAAAGTGAGATCAGTCAGCTTGTCGAGGAAGCCATCAAGGACCAGGTCCTTGCCCTCAAGCCCGAATCCATTGAGATCGATCCCTGACAGAGCGTTGTTTCCAGTGTTGGGGTTCTTGGCGCAGCTGAAGCCGTCGAAGTTGCAGACGTTGTTTCCGGTCCAGTTCTTGGTGACACCTGACGGGTCGACGGTAATCTTGTGCTTGAGAGATTGAACGAGAGAAAGATCTCTCCCCAGGTTTGAGCCACTGGAGGCGGCGGGCGCACCGAGCGCAATAGAGAAAAGGAGCGACGAGAAAAAGAGCGAAAGAGTAGCCATTTTGGAAAAGAGTGTCGAGATAACCATGCAAGTGAAGTCACGATATTCTCCACAGAGCGTGAAAGGGAACGCCTAAAGATTTATATGCCGGCTATGCCCACCGGCCAGGCTGGACTGCGACCGCCTATCTAATTTTTGCTGAGTTTCGACAAGTCACCGGCTCACGGCGCCTTTGAGTTTTCGTATTAAGTGTATCACGACTCGGTTTTATTTCGCCCCCACAAATACACTCATGAACTGAGCTGCGATTGTTTATTAACCTTCGTGCTAGGGCGTCCGTGGGGCGAACAAGATGAACACACAATCAAACTGACAATTCCGCTTGGAACTCTCCAAAAGCAAAGCTCTCTCCTCCTACAAAATGTCTCGGCGAAGCGGGAATTGCTTTCTAAGCTTCTCAACTAGCTTCACCGATACTCTTCAAGTAACCCTTCGAGAATTGTGCACTCAGTCAGACGGCGACAGATAAGTGGCCAATGGCAAAGTTCTAGGCGCGGGTGGGTATGACAGCCTTCATAACTGATCCATCATCCAGTCGGAAAAGGCCTCTAGCGTATTACAGGCCACACCCCATGGCAAAAACTACTTCATATGCAGCTAATCTTCTGCCATGGCTTTAAATCACAGCCAGCAACACTGAGGCGTTTATGCGCGGGCTACGGGACTGTGTTCACACGGCCAGCGGTTTAAACAAGTGTGCGTCAGCCCAAAATTTGGCAAGTAAGTCTTCAAGGCCTAAAGAGTTACGAAAAACAAAACCGGCGGCAATATCTCAGGCCAATTAACATCAACTTCATACTCATTCAAACCTTGCCGGTGCCAGACCGGCCTGTTCTATATGCACATTATCCTAGTCTAAAACGCCGGCCTCAGATGCAATGTGCTAGAATATTACGAACCATTAAACCCGCCCGGCAGAGTTTGGTTCGTCTTCCAACTTTTACATGTCAACGTGACGGCGACTGCTCAGGGCAATAGCAATGGGAGTGTGCTATTGCCGCCCGGTACAAAACGCCGGCGTCTTTGTCCCGATGGACAGCTTACCAGCACAAGTTCCTGCTTATGGTTGTCGACGTCGCGCTCTGCGTCCAACACGGAGTGGAACGTCGCTTCACTGTTGTGCAACTGAACTCAGAATGGAACGGCCGTATCGTCGGTCATTATGCGGTTCAGGAATCAGATTGAACGAATCTTATTTGACCCTCGTCCCTGATCGGACTGTTCATTATGGTATCCCACGCTTAGCATTACTAGATCTCCCGAAAACTTTGTTGCAAATAATTTGTGTGTGAAAGAAGAGAAGTGAAAGGAAAAACCAATGTGTAGCCGTCACTGCTTACATTGTACCATTGACGGGACCGCTTCGGGCCTTCGCAGCGTCAAACAGAGCCTTGATGTCGACCTGCCATTGCGCGAGGTCGGGTCGGAGAACGCGGCGATCGTAGGTGACCAGGCCGTTGACTTCGCCCTCGACGTCGGTCGTCTGTGTCCAGACACCGCCGCTGCAGGCGTACATCTCGACCTGCTCGCGGAACTCTCTTAGCAGGACGCGCCCGCGGTAGTTGTACGCTTCGAGGTTTTCATTGATTTCGTAAGTGGCATTGATCGAGTCGATTGCCTGCTGAACGTTCCAAAGACTATGCAGTGTTAGTCTTCCCTGATTGATTTCGAGTTTCATGTAGACTTACTGCTCAATCGAGACGTTGTGTCCGATGCCACCAAACTCGCCCTGGAATCCGATGCGCCTATTATCGTAGGGAGGCGAGGCGAGAGAGTAGAATGGTGTGCCGCATTGAGGGTTAGCGTAGTGGTGGTTGTCAGCGTAGTCACCAGATCCGTGGTCGAACCAGCCGCTGTTTGCGTTGATGAGCCTCGTGGGGTCAATCCCGCGAACGACGTCAACAAGTTTAGCCTCCGGGTAGGGTGGTGTTCTAAGTTGACCCCAACCTTCGTTGTAGATGGTCCAAGTCACGATGCTAGTATAGCTCTTGTGCTCCTCGATCATAAGCTGAAGCTGACGCTCGAACTCGGCTTGTTGGTCAGCGTTAGGTAGACGAGCCGAGTTGGCTGTCAGACTTGGCATATCCTGGATGACAAGCAGACCGAGGGTGTCACAGGCGTGGTAGAATAGATCCGGCTCCACCTTGATCTACGGGTTGTTAGTCTGACCTTTAAGAGAATGTGCACAAGACGGGTATCAGACATACGTGCTTGCGAACCATATTCATTCCGATGTTCTTGAGAACCTTTAGGTCATACGTCATTGCCTCTACACTTGGTGGAGTGTGAAGCCCATCAGGCCAGTAGCCCTGGTCGAGGGTTCCAAACATGAAGATGAATTCTCCGTTCAGCAGCGGGCGGTTAATGCCGTCCACAATACCATGTGAGATGGTGCGGAAGCCAGTGTAGCTGAACACCTGATCGCTGCCCATCTTCAAGGTGATGTTGTACAGGTTAGGGTTTGTCGGAGACCAAGCATTCGGGGATGGCACGGTGAAGTTGAAAGCTGTTCCAGAGTTGCCGGTGCCTGTTCCTACTGTGTTACCGTCTGTGTCGAGAATCGCAATGGTAACCTCCGATGAGGTGTTGGAGGAGCTGTGGACGAGCGCATTCACTACGGGAGGTTAGCAATGACACCCACTCGTTCAGATAATGAAGCTCTGTGCTTCTTACCATTTCCGTTGTGGTCAGCCGAGAGATCCAGCTTGGTGATGTAGGTTGACGGCGTGCTTTCCAGCCAAACCGTCTGCCAGATGCCAGAGCATGAGCGGTAGAAGATGTGCGAAGGAGTTCTCGTCTGCTTGCCAATTGGGATGACATACCCATCCGCGTCGGTAGGATCAAAGACAAACACCAGCCTGGAAAGCCCCAAAGTTAGTTTGAAGAGTGATTGAAGCAAAAGATGGAATGAAGTACTAACAAAGTGTTGTCTCCTCCAGCATTGAGGTACGGTGTCGCATCAACCGTGTAGCGGAAGTATCCTCCACGGTGGAAACCAACCTTTTGTCCATTGATGAACACGGTCGCCTCGTAATCGACAGCTTCAAAGTTGAGGATCACAGATTGGTTACCCCAGCCGCTAGGCACCTGGAACGTTGTCGCCAGCCAGAAGTGAGTGACGCCGAGCTCCTGAATCCCGGACAATCCGCTCTCAATGCACGAAGGAATGAGAATCTCGCGATCAAGCACGGCGCTAGTGGGCGGGTGGTTGACATCGTCGTCACTGCTGGCGGCCCTGTAGGTCCATAGGCCGTTGAGGTTGAGCCAATTCTCTCTGCGAAGCTGCGGTCGCGGGTGTTCCGGCCATGGCTTCGTTCCGACCTTGGCTGTCCAGTCTGTGTCGAGGGGCGGAGTTTGCAGCTGGTACGGTTCCGCGGTCCCAGCCGTCGGCGCTG